AATTCTTTATTGTTAAAAATATTACATATGCCTCCTTTTCCCCCCATTGACTCCCTCTAGTCTGCCCCCGCCCCAGGCCTTCAGCACCCTATTGTCTGGACACAGATAATAGGGGACACTTTTTTTTTATAATGATCCCTTAACCAATACACATTTAAAAATCCATTTTTAAGCAATGATATTTAATACTTTGATTTAATGGGGGAATTTGTGTTTTTATTATAAATGTTGCTGTGGATTTAATTTTGCTCCAATTTTAAGAATTTTTATTTTAATATATTTGTATTGATTTCAGAAAGGAAGGGAGTAAGCGGGGGAGCAATCTGACCAGAATCAAAACATGACCTCCCGGTTCATAAGTTGATGCTCAACCACTGAGCCACGCAGGCCAGGCAAGGATAATTTTAATCTAAATGTCTTTGACCTGGGAAATTTTATTATTCTCATGTATGTTCAGTTTGTTGATTTGGGCTTTAAAGTTATCTTTAAATTACATGTCTTCTGGTGAACCAGAGCTATTAAGTAAGCGCATATCTATACTTAAAAAAAAAAAATCAGTGGTCAATAATTTTCACTCTCCCATCAAACTTTTTCCCAGACTTGCTAAGAAAAGTTGCTCACAGATTGGAATGTTATTTCTCTTCCAGTTTGCTTCATTTTGGTGGATTTTTAAAAAATCTATAAAAATGTAAATTAATAGTATTGTTCTGGTTTGGGGATTGGTTGGGAGGTAGAGTCATGGGTATTAAAGACATTACATACATGATAAGTGTATTTTATATGACCAACTGTTCTACCAAAAAGTAAAAAAAAAACAAAAAGAGAACCAATTTTTAAAAAGATATTTCTCAATATTTTTTAAAGAATATAAAGGGATCCTGTGACCACAAAGTTTGAGAACTATTCTAGGGTATATACCTAACAGTGCAATTACTAGGTTATTGGATGTTCAATTACCCATAAGATCGTGCCAGATTGTTTTACCAAGAGCTGTTTGTTTCCACCAGTAATGTATAAACATATATTGATCCATATCCTCTCTGGCACTTGAAATTCTCAAATTTATTAATTTCTGCCAATCCAGTGGGTGTACAATTGTATATTAGTGTGGCATCCATTTGCTTTTTCCTTGGTTACTAATGAGGTTAAGCTTTCTTCCATATCTTTACTAGCTATCATGTTTTCTCCTCGTCTGTGAAATACCTGTTTGTGTTCTTTGCTCATTTTTATTGGTTTGTAGGGTTTATTATATATATTCGTGAAACTAAACCTGTACCAGTTATACATGTTACATTTCAATTGGTGCTTGCCTTTTTTCTCTTTATGTTGCTTCTTATAATCACTTGTCCTTGTATCATGTATTCAGTTCTTCCTCTTCCCTGGAGTTGGCAGTGCTACGCCTGTCACATATCATAGTTTCACTTGTGTGAGTATCTGTTTCTGGGCTCTTTTCTGTTCCATTGGCCAATTTGTCCGTCCCTCCACCAATACCATTCTATATAATAAAAGCCTAATATGCTAAGTGTCCGGTCATCTGGTCGACTGTTCAACCAATCAAAGTGTAATATGGTAATGATATGCTAAGGATGCTCAACCGCTCACTATGACGTGCACTGACCACCAGGGGTCAGATGCTCTGAGCGGTAGGTTAGCTTGCTGCTGGGGCCCAGCCGATCAGGACTGAGCAAGATGGGCTGAACACATCTGGAGCCCTCCTGCGTCCCTCCCCGGCCCCGATCGTGCACCGTTGGGTTCCCTCGGCCTGGCCTGCACCCTCTCGCACTCCGGGACCCCTCAGGGGGGCTTAGGCCCGCTCCCCACGAGCAGCAAGCCATCAGTCAGACATCCCCCAAGAGCTCCCGGACTGCAAGAGGGTGCAGGCCGGGCTGAGGGACCCCCCACCCCTGAGTGCACAAATTTCATGAACTGGGCCTCTAGTGTTGTAATAAGCCTTCATATCAGGCAAAGCAGGAACCTCAATTTTTCCTTCAGAATATGTGGACTATGCTTTGCCCTTTTTTTTTCCCATATGTACTTTAGATTGGATTTTAATTGTAATTGCATTGCATGTAGATTAATTTGAGAATTAATCTGTTTATGGTACTGAGTCCTCCTATCTGTTTCCTTAAAGATGCAAATTTTCATATTTTATACAAATAAATATTTGCTAGATTTTTTCCTAAAAGAGTTTTGTCTTTTCAGGAGCTTTCTAAATTCTCTTATTATTAATAATTTGTCAGGCTTAGCTTATATTTTTCATGTAAACAATCATGTGTTCTGCAGAATGAAAGTTTTGCTTATTTATTCCTTCCCAATTCCTGTGCCTCAGTTTCTTTTTCTTGCCCTCATCCACTGGCTATCTCCAGTATGGTGCAGAAGAGGAGCATCCTTATCATGTCCCTGATTTTTAAAGGGGTAATTCCAAGGTTTTCTCTTGAAGACTTGTTTTCAGTTGGGTTTTTATAGATACACTTTATTCAAGTTCTCCATTCCTAGTTGTCTAAGAGCATTTTTGTAAAGCATGAATGGTTGTTAAATGTATTAAATGTTTTTTTCTGAAGCTATTGAGATCATCCTAGTGCTTGAATATGTTCACTGAAAAACGTTTTATTTTCTTGGGTTGAATTCAGCCCTTTTGAAATGTGGGTTGATGAGACAGGGACACTAGTTTTGTGTACTTACAATAAGAATAAGATTTGGCTGCTCTTGTTCATTTCCACCAACCCTTGGAAATTAGTAAACTTACAAAACAGTTTAATGATACAGTGGAGACCAGTGCATCTTCAATTTCATGTCAATAGAAATCACCCATGACCTTATGAAAAGACAGATTCTGATGGACCAGTTCTCGGATGAGGCCTGAGATTTTGCATCTCCAACAAGCTCTTAGTGATGCTTGCCTACAGTCCAACAAACACCCTGTCAGTAAGACTCTAGCAACCTATAAATGACCGCATTATTCATTGTTTACACTTTTAACCCGTACGCTTGGCCTCAAATTGCAAAGGACAAAAAATTCAGTCTAGAGAAGGTAATAGGTAGAATGCTAAGAAAATTCGTTTAGGAAGTGTATTTTAACTAGACTCTAGGATGTGATGGGATGGGATGTCCCCCCAACTTGCCAGGACTGCCCACTGCAATTTCTCTGTTAGGATGTTAACCATGATGTCTCCTCCCTCCCTTCTGTCTGCCCTCTGTAGCTTCGTGTTGTGGGGGATGTTGCTGTGGAGAAATTTGAGAAACGCAGGCCGAGCAGAAAACAGAAAAGTTTAGGACTCCTGTGCCAGAAGTTTCTAGCTCGCTATCCGAGTTATCCCCTGTCAGCTGAGAAAACCACCATCTCCCTAGATGAAGTGGCTGTCAGTCTTGGTATGTATCATCCGGTTAGGTCTGTCTCCAGGTATAGTGGGACACTGGTTTCCCGGGGCAGGCCCTCCAAAAGGGTGAGGAAGGGGCCGGGAGAGCTTCCTTCTGCCGTGACCGTTCAGCGTAGGATTGCAGGGGCCTTCTAGGCCTGAGGGTCAACAAGAATTTGGTTTTCTTAAGCTTAAAAAACACTTTGACGAGACTCACATTACAGAGCCCTATCTCCTATTTTAATTTCATCTTATTTCAGCCAGACTAAAAAATGCTTTGAAATATCCTGCTCTTTATTTTTACAATAACGCTGCTAAGGGTTCAGAATTGGTGTTAGTTCTATCATAAAGCAAGATTTGAGAGCAAGAGCATTATGTTTGAAGCCTTCTTCTGTGCTGTTCACAACAAGCCTGCCAAAGTAGGAAAAGCACATCTGGTCATAACTCAAACAGCTCAACCTTATAACAAAGAAATGCGTGTGTTCACACGGGAGGGTGTGTATAATGTGCAACGCCGTATGTTCTGTAAAGAAGTCCGGCAGCTTCCGAATACAGACCCCTAGTGGACATGGATGGCAGTTGGTTTCAGGATGAACATATTGTTGACAAATCATTAAATAAGCAGGAAGCACAAAGATCTGCGGGTGGAGGGTGTCTCCTTAGGAGGTTTTACATACAGAATTTTGATAGATTATATTTTTAATTTGTTTATTAGTTCTAGTTCTTCCCATAGTCCAGAGAAATATGCACCAGTAGACAATTGTCAGTCTGAATTATTCACACCGATGGCTAAAGAGATTGTGCTTGCTGGAAACGGAAATAGTGAGGATGCGATGGGTTGTGATGGGAAGACCCCAGGCTGGGCTTTGGGTCAGGGAAGGCTGGATTGGAAGCCCAGCTCTCCAATTGACAGGCCCTGGGAGTTTTAGGAAGTTAATCAACCTTTTCTCACTGGGACCATCGCACCTACCTGGCAGAAACAGCCAGGTTGGGATGATGTCAGTAACGTGCCTAACTTGGGCCCTGACATGGGTGGCTCTTACTGTTACATGGAAGCTTTCCCTTGTACCCCTCTTCCCTAAGCTGTCTGTTCAACCTCTGCAATTAGGAAGGGGGAGTAGAGCGTTTTGCTTGGGGATCCGTTTTGAAATTCAGAAATGGGAACACAGTATTTGGCCCTGAGGGCCATGAGACAAATGTCAGTAAGGTGCCTAACTTGGGCCCTGGCATGGGTGGCTCTTACTGTTACATGGAAGCTTTCCCTTGTACCCCTCTTCCCTAAGCTGTCTGTTCAACCTCTGCAATTAGGAAGGGGGAGTAGAGCGTTTTGCTTGGGGATCCGTTTTGAAATTCAGAAATGGGAACACAGTATTTGGCCCTGAGGGCCATGAGACAAGAAGGGCAGAGTGACCCAGCTGGGGAGGGAGAGGCTTGACCCATTGGAGGCACAGCATCCTGGAAACTCGTCTCACAGAGGATGAGGGTAAAACAACAAATCAGTGTCCTCACTGGGACTCAGGAAGTCAGGACCTTGCACTGATGTCAGTGCAGAAGACGAACGGTTGGAGGTAGGAAGGCCGTGTCACAGGACAGACTCCTGCTCGGGGCTGCAGGTCATTCTGCAGATCCCCGCATCATGGCTGCATGGGGCAGAACCAGGGATTTTTGCAACAGCTGGCTAATGCCTCACATCACCCAGACCTGCCACGTGACCTTACCATCTCTCTTCATGTAAGGTCAAACAATTCCTCCCGGGAATTGTTTCAGGGGTGACCGACTCTTCGGGTTGAGTCTAAACTCCCTGCTACATCCCAGGTCACAAGCTGTTAGGCCATACTTTAACCAAGGATGTGCAGAGCATTCAAATCGCACAGTTTCCCAGGGTCCGGTCCCATATAGATTGGACATGGATATCATAGGTAAGAAGTCAAAGAGCTAGGAGGACTTTAGTGGATGGAAAATAGCATGGCCCAAGAAAATAGTGTATGAGGCTGAGGTATCCTTGGTAAGCTCCGTCGGGGATGAAGGGAGGCCTGGTAAGAATTGGTAAATCCTGATGGCATAACTAATGCCGTGAATAGTTTTGCCTGGATACAAAAGGAGAGGAAGGCTGGTGCCAAGGAAAACCTCCCTGGCAGGACAAGGCCCAGAGTAACTGGCAAATCTGGAGACCTGGGAAATGGGACTCTTCAGTGCACCAGCCAGTGGACAGGCACACTCAGTCCGATAGAAAAGGTGGGTGCATGACCAGCGTCACCTGCTACACCTGTTGTGCACATTAAATGTCTTACTCTCCGGGTGGTCAGAACCTTCCTTTCTTTTCCCCTCTTGGGATGTCGAGCCACTAGATGGAGACTTAACAGATTGTATCTAATACAAAACAACGAAACAGCCGGGCATATGGCTGGCCCTGGGGTGTTTCAGTTGCATTCACATGTCATTTCTAATGGGAAGGTGTATAGAATGTTATACTCTAAACATGATGTGTTAATATAGGAAAACAGACTGGAGCAAGGAACCCAGGGGTCGGACAGGGGGCTGCTGACGGCCCTGCACCAACTTCCGGCAGACATCTGGCACCGACACGCGGGGTGAGGAGCCTTTCAGGGTCAGGAGCTGAAATGCTCTGACGGGCTGTGAAATGCCTCCTCATGCATGTGATGAACTTCCTCTTGGCTCCGGGCTTCTCGTTGTAATTCAGTCTGTTTCTCCTGTTAAGTCTTTGCAGGGCCACATGCTGCATTCACTGAGTCTGCCCGGATTATATTACAGCTCCTGGCAAGTGCACAGAAAGAAGGCCTGGTTGTAGCTGGGCTGGTTTTCTCCAAGGTGCCTGGAGGCTTCTGTTATGGATACTTACATGAGAGCAAAGGAGGAGGTGGTTCTAGAAGCCCGAGGGCCTGTTGCAGAGGAGGTTTTTAAATCTGTTTCCACTAATCCTCTGATCCCAGCAGCAACCTGAGGTAGCCCCAGTGCCACGCAGAAAGTGCCAAACAGTGAACATATGTTGGAGACTCTTCATGTTTGTGGTCGCATCGAACCCTCCTCATCTTATGAGATAAATACTAAGCCACAGACAGGTTAGGTCACTACTCAGGGTCACCAATTGGGACAGACAACACGGGGGTTCAAATCTAGGCAGTCTAACCCCCAAATCCCCACACTAAGCACCATAAATATTTTTGGCAAATTCAGTAGATGGCTCATAATCCTAGCTATTTGGGCAGAGTATTGGGCAAGGGTTAGGGAACTGATGAACTTGCTGGTCCGTCCGTACTGTACACGAAGTCTCTGTGTCACTGGGCTACTTGGCAGGATGCGGTGAAGGAGAGCACGGGAGAGTTTTGTGTAGCCATGGTGAACCAGGGCGTACTCAGGTGTTGTTCCAGCCCTAACTGTGGCTTCATCCATCATCTTGAGAAGGGGCCCAAACTCTTGACTCCTAAGTTTCCAGTGTGAAATAGGACACAAAATACTTACCATCTGTTTTCCTTATTGGACCATTAAGAGAATTAGCAAGATAATTATTTTACATCATTCAAACTCCAGGAAAGGAAAGGATTGTCCAGACAAGGTGTCTGTTCTTGGACACAGTTTATTGTATAGTCTGCATAATTAGGACTATAAGTCTAAATCAGCCAGCCAGCATTCACCCAGTGTCCATCGGGCGTGCTAGCACCTGTGTTGCTCAGTCCCACCCATTGTAACAGGCTAACAGGGCTAAAGAAAAGACATCTGCTGCGGGTAATACAGGTAGGATGTCAGCCATCTCTGGGTGGATGTTTTATCCTACTGGGGGTTAGATCACAAGAAAAGGAAAGAAAAATAAAATTCTGTTACTTGCATTTTTAAGGGGTGAGTTTGTGGCACAGCCACACTTGATGGGCATTCCACTGGGCATCACGCAAAGTAGTTCACAGACATGAACTACTTTCCAGGCTCTCAAGGAATTTATCCTCAGAAAAGTCTGCACGATGATGGTTGGCTTCTGTCTTTCAAACAGGCGTTGAAAGGAGACGCATCTATGACATTGTGAACGTGCTGGAGTCACTGCACCTGGTCAGCCGGCTGGCCAAGAACCAGTATGGCTGGCACGGACGGCACAGCCTGCCGAGGACCCTGCGGAACCTCCAGAGACTAGGAGAGGAGCAGAAGTATGAGGAGCAGATGGCATCCCTCCAGCAGAGGGAGCTGGACCTGATGGATTACAAATTTGGAGAACGTAAAAAAGATGGCTGTGCAGATCCCCATGATCAACAGTTGCTGGATTTCTCGGAGCCCGACTGTCCCTCCTGTGAGTTCATTGTAACCACGTGGGTAATAGCAGAGAGGCAGGGATGGTCTCTTCTGGAGAGACTCACTGCTGAGATGGGAAGTGACAGATTGACAACCCTGGAGGGAGGTGTCCTCTTACTCTCTCCACTGAAGAAAGGCAGACAGATGGCTCCCCCGCTGGGTTACCCACTCACCCTCGCTGAAAACCTGTCTACTGGCAGATCACTTGGTGGTTGGTGTTTGGACCGCAGATAGCTAACGGAGCTTCCATTCCAGATTGACAGCCCCATGTTGGTTTCTGTTTGTGAGCCTTTAAGGAAAATTTGCTCTGAAAAAAGTTATCGTTACAATGAAATTAATTTGTGAAATAAATTAATTTATGGTAGTAGATTATATAGAAAAGAACCCCACTAGCAGCAAATGTTGATTAGAAGGCTAGACACTGGATGCAGAATGTTTTTCACTGACGCCTACATTGGTCTTCCCCTCCTGACTCATTTATCCTCTTCCTGTCTTAACCATTGGTCCTCATCGTTCTCTCCCTACTCCCTCTTGCTAAGATGATCAAGTGCAAGTATCACTCACATTTCTCTTGCAAATTTAAGAAACAGGAATGGAAAGGTGGGCCTGGTTTTCATTCCGTTTACTGCCTCATGCCTTTTAGTTCCAGCCCATGAGCCAGTTGTATCTTAATAACCAGGGGAGACAGCCATCTGTCGGGATGGTTTGCCTGCCGTCCTCAGCAGCACACATCTCATCAGCTCTCCTATTTAGTTACAGTTTATTTCTGAAAAGAAATGGAAGAGGTGGGCATCTGCTGTGATTACGGGACATGCTGGATACAGACATGCCTCAGAGCCAGTGTGGGTTTGGTCCCAGACCATCACTGTAAAGCACGTTGTAATCTTTTTGCTGGTGAAGGGTTCTTGCCTTCAATTTGTAAAAAAAATACAATATCTGTGAAGTGCACTAAACAAGGTTTGCCTGTATTGTGGGCACAGAAATTAAAATAGAATCCTTGCCTTTGAGGTCAGAGTGGATGTCTGAAAACAGTTTCTCATCCCTACCCTATCCCCCCTCCCGCCCCCCCCCACACACCCACTTTTTTTTTTTTTAATCCTCACCCGGGAATATTTTTCCATTGATTTTTAGAGAGAGTGTGGAAGATAGAGGGAAAGACAGTGAGAAATATCGATGTGAGAGAAACACATCAATTGGTTGCTCCCTGCACGCGCCCCGACTGAGGTACGTGCCCTTGACCAGAATTAAACCGGGACCCTTTGATCTGCAGGCTGACGCTCTATCCACTGAGCAAGACTGGGTTAACATTCGCCTTTCAGCGTCTATTCCTACGGAAATCTTATGGGCAGCAAGAGAATCCGCCGTGTCTTTTTGAGCCATCGTCTGTGACTGTGTGTCCAGACGGCTTTTCTCTGTAACAGAAGTGATCTTTCCATTCACTAGCAGAGTCAGATCATTCTGGCAAACTGTAAATAGAGTCTTTCTTGTGGTAAATTATCTTTTTTGATGCCTTTGTTTCGTTCCCTTTGTAGCATCTGCAAACAGAAAAGACAAGTCTCTGAGAATCATGAGCCAGAAGTTTGTCATGCTGTTCCTCGTCTCTAAAACCAAGATTGTTACTCTCGATGTGGCTGCCAAAATCCTGATAGAAGGAAGCCAGAATGTGCTGGACCACAGTAAATTTAAAAGTAAGCACCCTCACCTGAACCCACCTTGCCAGCCCAGGGAGGGCGGGATTCATACGGTGATGTTTCTGCCTCTGAAAGTAAAAGAACAATGGTTTTTTGGAGAAGTGCACTCCTTCCTGCATCCCAGAATCCTTGGGGCTGTAAGAGGTAAGTTAGTCACCTGCTAGGATTCCCACTGACGTCTCCTTGGCAGTTAGAGTGGACAGTGGAAGCAGAGTGCCATCCACAAATGCAGGTCAGGGTGGGTGTAAGATACTTTGCATTTCTCTGTAGTATCGCAGCATCCAAGACAGAATGTCTGCGTTTTGTTTCCCCTTCCCCCACCACCCCAAGAGTCGGGGAAGGGTGGTGGGACATGGCTGCGGACAAGGAGAGCGTTTCTGAGTTTCCTATTTTCTGTCGAGCGTGGGTCCCAAGCCAGAGGCCCTTGGCTGCTGGTAGTCCTTCCAAGCCTTGGGGAGGCGTGAGCTCAACATACCTTGTTTGTTTGTGTTTCCAGCTGGAATTACAGCCATCCTGTGGGAGAAATGACTAAACAAAATCTAAGCTCTCCCCCTGTTGGGAAGAAAATTGCATCTGGGATGAATGCTTGCTATTTCTAGACAATCATCAATGTTCTTTGCTTTATCTTAGCCCTGAAGTCAAGTGGGTTTCCTACCTGTAAATTGATTTCTTAAATAGAAATTACTTTCTGGGCATCACCTGCCTATTTACTGTGTTACCACCCCTTCTGAATTTCTCTTCTGGTCCATGCATTTTCAAATGTGTCTCCCCAAACCGCTTAAGACGCAAGGATTGTACATCCCACCCCTCCCCTCTGGATGGCCAGAGGCTGGGACTTCAGGTGAGGAACTGCCTGCCTTCAGCACAGCGGTACCTCAGAATCCCGAGCCCAGAACACCCTCTGGGCCCAGGAGTGCGGCTTTGCAGGAAGCTCTGGGGATTCCCTGTCATGTTCACAGCCCAGCTGCCTGGTGGAGTTGGTGCCACAGCCTCCTGCTGGGAGAAACTCGGGCAGGCTTCCGACATGCCACACGTCAGAATCTCACTCACTGAGCCTCTAATTACAGCCCGTTTCCCTCCCTCGGGTGTTTTTGCAATCAGGGCTCTCCCTGCTTGTCTTGGAAAGGTGTGAAGCTGTGGAAACAGAAGGACACACCGACCTTGGTCTGTGGCTGCAGATGCATAAATCCTGGGTGGCTTCATGACAAAACCATTGGTCATTTCATCCCACCCCACTGCTCTCCCCTGAGGTGTCTATGGTGACCAAGAAAAGTGACCTGTCACATAAACTACAGTGTAATGGTGCCACAGGCAGCATGACCATAATTGTGTTTGATGTCTTCCAGCAAAGGTCCGACGTCTCTATGACATCGCCAATGTCCTGACCAGCCTGGCTCTGATCAAGAAAGTGC